TTTGCACATTTAAATAATATCTGTGTGAAGTGCCTGTCAGTTGTTGGGTTTGTAGGAAGTTCATTAAAGGCCACTAAATGTCAGTGTAAAGAAAACCGGGAACATGAGATACATTTTTGTAAAATTCAGAACATAATTTAAAATCCCTCTACTCACCTACAACGCTCTTCATGGTCAGGCCCCTTCATATATTAAAGAGCTCATAGTACCCTATTACCCCACTAGAACACTGCGCTTTCTGATCTTATTGGTCAAAAACGTTACAAAACACTGCGTCTCTAGGGTGTCACAGTCAGTACAGATTTCCCCTCTCTGATAGACAGAGCTGTACTTGAAACTTTTTCCCATGTCCCGAAAATAAATTGGAGGCAGCGACTCATACTGGAGGGACCAGATGGACAGTTATCCACTGAGTAAGTACACTAGACAAGTTGTGTTTTACATCGATGCAATTATTTCTGATATATTGAGCAAATTACGTTTGTTTTAGTTCACATCGACAACTGTAAATCTTGATGAATGACCTAACCCCTGACTGTTTTCCCAAGATAGCGCCCGCCTGTATACGCGAACGCTACTGTTGTTCTAAACTATCTTTTTAATAAACTGTCTGTACACTTACAAAGTTCTCAATGCTTCGGTTTATAAGTAGAGACCCTCACTATGCTACCGTGTTAGTGTGGTGCTATTTTGAGTCTTGTTAGTGGCATAAAAAGCGATTTCTTTTCACGTTACTCTGTGCCCCGTTGTCTTGCGTTATAAGCTAATTAGCAGTTTGTGCTAAAACCGGTCACGGTCAATTAGAATGAAAACATATCCCAGAGAACGGACCAACTCGGTACACATGTGTTATTAACCCCAGGTTCATTTTGCACCGGAATTGTCCTTTAAGCTAAGAGTTTATTGTTTACTGTTTATTGTTTACTTTCTATATTTAGCTAAGAGTTTATTGTTTATCTTATACTGTATTTTTTTTATACCTCTTTTATTTTCTATACAAGTGTTTTGTAAGCTGCTGGAAATTCAATTTCCTTGAGGGAGTCATCCCAAAGGGATCAATAAAGTGAAGTCTAAGTCTACAGCTTTATGTCCAACACAAAGAATAAAGGTGTGGCCTATTTCCTTTTGTATGAGGTAATTATTTTGATCATAGAAGGCACACACATACAAAACACAGTAGCAGTGAGCAGATTACATAACATGAGAAAAGTTCACAACCTTCCCCGCCAAGGCCTGCTGGTGAATGAAAACACAGTGGTAATTCACAAAGTCAGGAAAATCATGGTCATTACAGTACAGCACTATAAATCCAGCGTGAATCACTGGGGCTCCATCAGTAGTAATTGCCACCAGTTTGTGAATGGGGATGTCATTATCACGGACATATTTTTAAAACTCATTGTAAATATCCTCACCTCTCGTTATCTCCTTTAAGTACAAAAGAGTGAGGAGATCCTCTTTTGTTGTAGACACGCCATCCTGACAAATATAACAAGCTGAGCTGTGTTCATTACATCCAGGGATTCATCAAACTGTAGTGAAAAATATTCACAATGTGACAAGTCTTTTAGCACTTGTCAATCCACGTCCCCTGACATTTCCTCGCCATCCTCGCCACTGTATTCGGGCCAAACTGGACACTGCGGAGCACGGTTTTGATGTCGTCTTTTTTTTTAAAGCTGTTGAAAACCGTCTCTGCAGTGATGGCCATTGCCTCCTTGAATAAATCGCCATCTGTAAAAGGTTTATTGTGTTTAGCCAAAAGGTGACTTATACGAAATGAAGCTTCAGTCGCAGCCTTATTTTGAGCAGCAGGTTTTGTAAAAAGCGACTGCTGGGCCTTCAAACTCGCTTTCAGCTCAGCACCTTTCCTAGCGCGAATTGCGCTCTTGGCGGGGAAACTGTCTTTGAATTTGTCGTGGTTGGTGTTGTGGTGCCGCTCCAGATTTCCTCTTTTAGACAGCGCTAGAGTTTGGGGGCACAGCATACACACACACTTGTCTTTTACCACGGTGAAAAGAAATTCCTCTTCCCATTCTGGATGGAAATTATATGTTTTCCATAAGCTGCCAGCTGACAACATTGCAGTCTATCGCCAATCACCTGCTAGTGCCGTATATTGTAATTTTGCGACAGTTAATGTTCCAGTATCCTTCTTTGATCTTATTGGTCAATTTAATGCAGCCTGTTACACTGAAAAAACAGACTGGATCGAGAGAGATAGAGAGACAGAGAGAAAGAGAGGCGCTTGCAAAACTGAACATTAATCAGCCATAATGTATTTGTGTAATTATTTTCCTATTATTTTCAAGTCTACAGGGAATGTTTCAAAGGTCTACCAGTTGATCACGATCGACGGGTTGGCGACCACTGGCCTAGACTGCTGGGGGATTTCCCATGATGCACTGAGCTCCTCTCTTTCTGCACACATTCATGTCCCATTAATGCATGTTACTAACTTCACTTCTTCCCCGGAGTTCTTGTGCTTTCCCATCTCGCAGGTTCTCATGGATCCTGCTGGTGTCTCCTGCCATGGTCCTGTCTGACTCCCATTGCTAATATCACTGATATTATATATCCTCCCAGTGGATCCTGGCTTGGTCCCTATTGTATTTGCTAAAGTTATTATTTTTAGCCCCGTTGACTGCATTTTTGACCCCCTGAACATATACGAGAGCTCAATTTTATTTGGCAAAGTTGTCAGGCCTGGTAAATAATTGGATATTCTATGCGTCGCTTTCGGGTCAGCCACTAGGTGGCGCTACTATCATGAAAAGTGCGTTTAGGCTAATAACTTCTGCATAGTTTGTTGCACATTCAAAAACCTTATATCCACGCGTTCATTGAATGTAGCTGAATCGTCCCATATAGGCCACGCCCACTTCCGCCTAGATTTTTTTTCCGTTAGTGTGCAAAATGTCCATAAACCACTTTTTCATATTCCTCCTAAACGCTTCGTCTGATTCGCACAAAATTTTTCATGTAGCATCTGGGGACCATCCTGGCAAATAACGTAATTTCAAGTATTTGATAGTACAAAATACCAGTGCATTATAAAATTAGCACTTCCTGTTGATTTTTCGTCAAAAAAGGAAGTGGAGTATTTCTCCACATTGCTATGTCCAATTGACACCAAGCTTGGGTCCATAGTTCCCTATGTCGTCCTTAGGCATCGTGCATAATTTCAGGCCATCACCACAAGGTGGCGCTCTTTAAAATGAAGAAATGTTTATCTCCGCATCGGCATGTGTGATTAAAATGAAACTTGGTACGATGCTTGCCCATGGCTCCCTGAAACTCGCTAAAAAATGTGTTAACACACCACCACTAGGTGGCGTTCTGGTGGCATGGTAAATCACTGCGCGAAGACCGTAATAGTTATGAATATGAAATTCACAGGGCACGTGTAGAGTGGTGCTTGAAGCTCACATACCAAAAATCGTGTTTGTTGTGTTTGTAGCGCCCCCTACAGAATAAAAAAAAATAGACCTTTGTGTCCGTCTCTGTTCTTCAGTCTTTACCTCTGTCTCGCTCTTTCTCCAACCCCAACTGGTTGTAAAATTGAACTGAATGGAATTGAAAATTTAATTTTGAGAAGGACAGATGGAAGAATTGTTAACTTGAGGAGCTCAGGGTGATCAGAAAGTCATGCTCTTTCATGTGTGCAAGGGCTGCTCATGGTAACTAACCTCTTCCTTTTACTTAATCCAAACATACACAGTGTTCCGCAAGGGAAAACATCTGAAACTCAGTGTGAACAGCATACAATGTGAAAGCAACCTTAACTGGCTACAGGTTGGGTCAACTTTTTATTAGCATAGCAATATGTGTAGAACCAATACAGAAATAAATGAGCCTCATTGGAGCACACTTTGGAGCCGTATTTAGCCAGTTTGTAAAACCTGAGTATAATGTTTGTCAAATATTAGCTGGTCCACGCCTAAGTAGTTGTTAGCACAAGACTCATTTACAGATACTTATCAAAGCGGCACCGTGTAGACTCAAGTTGTATGTGTGTGTGTGTGTGATATGGGAAGCATGCATTCCAACACACCCCACCCCCTCCCAAATTCCCACTGACCCATTGTGCCAAGGTTTTTTCCTCTTATCCTTGCCCTTGGTCCTACATGGCCCCTTAGCACCCACCCATCTAGCCAGACCAGAGGTGCTGTCAGGTCAGTTGTGGTGCAGGGCACACACACACACACACGCCCAGATTGACCCCCTGCCTATCTGTGTTCGCGGATCACTTCACAGGACAATCTCTCTATCCATCTTTGCAGGGTCATTGTGGACCTGCCCCCAGCTGAGAAAGGAGCTTCATTCACAGGAAAGAACCCTCTTTCTCTGCCTTCTCTCTTTCACTCAGTCCTTCTGCATGATGGCTGGAGGAAGGGAAGCCCTCACAGAGATACTGTGTGTGTGTGTGTGTGTGTGTGTGTGTGTGTGTGTGTGTGTGTGTGTGTGTGTGTGTGTGTCCGTGTGTGCTGGAGGTCATATTTAGAATATGAAGAGGCAAGACTTCAAAGCTGGACACAGAATGAGGGTGAATACAAATACCACCACTTCAACACCCCAGCAAACTCACAAACACACAGTTCTGCTTTTAGTTATTAAGATTCAGAAGTTAGCTGAAGGCAGGACAACAGAATAGACAGGAATATTCTAGGATATTTCCTTGTGACAAATATAAGATAGCAAAGTAATTTTCTGTTAACACCGGGAAAAAAAGCTAAGCAACAGAACCAGGAAGATAATCAAGCGCACAAAACTGGAACAAATCGTCACAGACAGATAGCTTCCTTGTTGTTGGCACATGCAGGTATGTGCACAAATTTACTTTAAGTAAGTAAGTAAGTAAGTAAGTAAGTAAGTAAGTAAGTGTGTGTGTGTGTGTGTGTGTGTGTGTGTGTGTGTGTGTAAAAAGATTTGTAGTTAACAACAACAGTCATGGTGCACGGAATAAAGTGAAACTAGGGAGTGGGGGTTACAGACAGCATGGGGGAGGGTCTGAGGAGGGTGAGATGAGTGAGCACACACACGCACACACATACCAGCAAAACCACTGAATGAATGAAAGGCAAAGGGGGAAATGGAATGAATGAACAGTTGCGACTGAGAAAATGAATGAGTGTGATGATGACAGCTGATTTTGCTGTTGCACACACACAGGGCAGTTGGACATCCTTATTCATGTCACAGGCGACAAACTTCGCATTCGGAGCTAGAAAATGAATCAATGTGAAAAGTGTGTTGCTGGTGCACCAACTGGATTCCTGCTAAGTAAGGTATTAACTCTTAAATCAAACATTAACATTTAAGTGTTAGCTTGCATACAGTGTAAACACTGTTATCTGATTATAGGTCAATCAGGTGATCAGAATCACAGTAAAGAAAGTATAGCTTTCAGTTTTAGTTTGTAGCCACAGTTCTGTCAGTCGGCCCATCCTCCAGTTCAGTCCAGACTAAAATACAGACCAATATCTATTAACATTTTATTATATTATCTGACACATTGCAATATCATTATACAGTATGTCACACTGCTAAAATGCACATTCCTGCAAACTGTACAGCTCTGTGGAATAATTGATGTATCTCTAAAAGTAACAAATCACTTTATTTATAAAATTGGGCTGACAGGAACATTCTTTTCTTAAAAATGACCTTTTTGATTCTAATGCTCAACTACAGGCCTTTGTGAAAGAGAAAGCATTTCCTGTACTCTAAAAAGTAACTCAGTGGCCCCATTATCACCACTTAATTAAATGCATTGTAGTAAGTTAAAAGTTCTAATATATTTATTTAGATAGACCTTTTAAGTTGCAAAAAAAGTTGTGTTGATATAATAATGTTGGTAATTACGTCAATTTAATATTGTGAGTAATTTGAACTAACATTTCTGCATTAACTGGTTCAAAACAAAAGTCAAGTTGTATTAACTTAATAAAATTTGCTTGATAACTTAATTTTTCTCCACCTTGAGTTCAGCATTTCAAGTCCCCTCCCCTACCCACCCACCTATTAAATGCCTGGGCAAATTCAGACAGTTGAGACTCAAAATACGATATACAAAGGACATTTTTGAGGTGAGTATCATTTTATTTGCAAATAAATTAAAAAATTGTGATTTGAACAGCTGTGGACTTGTGACTGAAGGTTAGGTTACATCTGTTAATACAGTTGATGGAATATGTTGTATTAATAAACATAGTTAAGGCTAGTCATATTTAGCAGCGTAGTTTAGCCATTCTACCCTTCACTGTTGGAATCAAGGAGGAGATTCCAACAGTGTTTATTTCAATGCCATGTCTGAATATATAATATATGTCCTATAATAACTTTAATCCCTCCAAAATTGATAATCTTGTCAATAGTGCTGCAGGCTCACTACGATCAACATAGGAGATTAGCACCGTGGTACAACCACCAAACACGGCAATTGAAGCAAAAAATTATTCGAATTTTGCTCAATTTGGCAAGATAATCTTAAAACTTATGGAAAGGCCCTCCGTAATGCCAGAGGAGCCTATTACTCAACACTAATAGAAGACAATAAAAACAACCCCAGGTTCCCCTTCAGCATTGTAGCCAGGCTGACAGAGAGTCACAGCTCTATTGAGCCACATATCCTCATAAACTTAAGTAGCAATGACTTCATGAGCTTCTTTTATTAGGGACCGAGCACTAACAAGTGGAAGGACCCTATTGTTTCTGTTAAAATTATTATTAGGGACCGAGCCAGCGACCGCTGGAGGTCCCTATTGTTTTTGCTTGATTTCTTACCTATTATTATTTTTAGGCCACTTCGACTGCGTTTTTGCCCCCCTGAACATATACGAAAAGTCAATTTTATTTGGCAAAGTGTTCTATGTGTCACTTTCAGGTCGGCCGCTAGGTGGCGCTACTATCATAAAAAGTGCGTTTAGGCTAATAACTTCTGCATAGTTTGTCGCACATTCAAAAACCTTGTATCCACACGTTCTGTGAATGGACCTGAATCTTCTTATATAGGCCCCGCCCACTTCCGCCTATAATTTTTTTCGTTAGAGCACGAAATGTCCTTGAACTACTTTTTCGTGTTCCTCCTACACGCTTTGTCCAATTCGCACAAAAATTTTCACCTACCACCTGGGGACCGCCCTGGCAAAAAAAGTAATTTAAACATTTTTGAAATTTCAAAAAATATGCACGCGATAAAATTCAAACTTCCTGTACATTTTTCTTCAAAAAAGGAAGTGGACCATTTCTCCACATTGGTATGTCCGATTGTCACCAAACGTGGGTCCATAGTTCTTCATGTCTTTCTTAGGTATCGTGCAGAATTTCAGGTCATCGCCACTAGGTGGCGCTCTTTAAAATGAAGAAGTTTATATCTCTGCAAACGGCACGAGTGATTAAAATGAAACTTGGTACGATGATTGCCCATAGCTCCCTGAGGTTCCCATAAAAAGGACAAAAAAATACGCCACTAGGTGGCACTCTTTTGGCATGATAAATCACTGTGCGGAGACCGTAATGGTTATGAATATGAAATTCACAGGGCACGTGTAGACTGGTACCTGAAGCTCACATACCAAAAATCGTGTTTGTAGCGCCCCCTACAGGATAAAACAAACAGCAGCCCCGGCGCCATGTTTCACCGATATGTACGAAATTCGGTAGGCACGTGTAACATGCCGGGACATACAAAAAAGCCTCTTGGACCCATACCCGAAAATCCACAGGAAGTCGGCCATTTTGATTTTCATTTTCACTTTCGGCGAACTTTTCGCGTTGTATTTCAACAAACTCCTCCTAGGGAATTTATCGGATATGCTTCAGAATTTGTGAGTACAGTCAAAAAATGGTTCTGATTAAAAGTTGTGCTATTTTGAAGTCCGTGGTCGTGTATATAATATTATATATATATATATAATATTTAGTAAAAGTGAGAGCACCACCTAGTGGTGAAAGGAAATGTCATTTTTTTATACTTCCATGTTCTACTCCTAGTAGGATGATCAGATCAAGCTGAAATCTAGTCAGGAAATGCAAAACATGTTGTTGATTGTGGTGAGTTTTGTTTAAAGGGCGTGTCCGTGGTGTGGCGTCAAACTTTGATGTACCGCCAGAACACACAAAGTTACTATAACTTGAGTGTACATAATCCAATCGGCTCCAAACTTCACATGTTTGATAAGAGTCCCGCCCTAAACACATAGTGATAGCGCCACCTAGTGGCAACAGGAAGTAAGTGCTGCGTGGCGATTTTGAGCTGATTTACGTGACATTTTCATGTTGTGGTCCGCACTAGTTACGACGGCACGTGACGTGGCCGCAGCACACCCCGACAGCATGTGACACGGCCGCAGCACACCCCGACACGCGCCGGCTGCGAGGTCCTGTTCAATGCTGCTTGCAGCTTTAATAATACAATTATTACTGTTAGAGAGAAAATTAGTCACCAAATGCCCTTAACAGGTATCACTGGCTCTCCAAGTTTAGGAACTGTAACTAATGTAAACTCAGATATATATTTGGAATGTTTTTCTGCTATCAATTTTCATCAGTTAACTTCAATAATTTCTTCATCGAAGCCATCAACCTGTCTATTAGACCCGATCCCAACTAGGCTGCTTAAAGAAGTCGTACCCTTAATTGACACTTCTTTACTAGATATGATTAATCTTTCTTTATTGTCAGGATATGTACCACAGTCCTTTAAAGTAGCTGTAATTAAACCCCTTCTTAAAAAGCCCACTCTTGACCGAGGGGTTTTAGCCAACTATAGACCGATTTCTAACCTCCCCTTTCTCTCTAAGATTCTGGAGAAAGTAGTCGCCAAAGAGTTGTGTGACTTTCTACATAACAGTAGTTTATTTGAGGATTTTCATTCAGGATTTAGAGTTCATCACAGCAGAGACAGCTCTGGTTAAAGTTAATAATGACCTTTTGATTGCTTCCGACAATGGACTTGTCTCTGTACTTGTATTATTATTGTGCCTTGCATAAGCAAGCACAATACTATTATCCCTCGGGCTTATTATTCTTCCGTACGTTTTTTCGGCGCGCTACTCCTCCCGCAGCTTTTGTCGCACATACACAAAAAAGGTATCAAAACGTGCGGCTCGGTGAGGACATTAGTGCTATGACTTTTCTAAGCGTTTCGCCAAACAGTTTGCCGGTAAATCGCCAAAAACCGGTCCAAAAAATGAATGGGTGTGTATTGCGAGAATGTTCAACTGCCAGAGTGCGTGACATCATCACTAGAGTGTGGGGAGAGAGAAAAATTTCTCCGTAATAGTTATGAATATGAAATTCACAGGACCCGTGTAGACTGGTGCCTGTAGCTCAAAAATCTGGTTTGTCGTGTTTGTAGCGCCCCCTACAGGAATTAAAAAAAACAGCCCCGGTCCCACGTTTCACCGATATGTATGAAACCCGGTAGGTATGTGTAACTCGCCGAGATGTACAAAATTTTTTTTTTTAATTTTCACCATTTTGTGGTCATTTTGACTTTTTGGGCTTGTATTTGAACGAACTCCTCCTAGGGAATTTCTGGGATCTGCTTCAAAATTGGTCAGTACAGTCAAACAATGTTGCTGAATGAACGCCGTGCTATTTGTGACTGTACGTTGAAGGGAGTGTCCGTGGCGTGTCGTCAAAGTTGGCCATTTTGAATTCCGTGGTCTTTTTTTCGAAGTGATAAAACACAAACACCCCTCCACTCCCACTAGCCACATCTACAAACCGTATTTCCTACGGAGTATTGTTCGTGGAGTATTGTAGGAAACCGCTGGAAGTCAAGTATTAAATTGCAAGATAAATAGGGGACTTATCAAATCTACTTCAAAATTGGACAGTCTTATAAAAACAAACTGTAGATGAAGAGTTGAGCTATTTGTGACTGTACGTCAAACCGCGTGCCAGTGACGACTTGTCGAATTCATCCGATTTGCCATTAAACAGTACTCATAACTGTATAACAGTGTGCGATGTCCAATCTCCACTAAAATTCATATATTCTGTAACAGTCTCGCCCTGAACACGTCCTCATAACTTCAGCGTACGTGGTCCAATCTCAATGAAACTTCATGTGTTTGATAAGAGTCCCGCCCTGAACACGTCTACATGACAACATTCAGACATAGTGATAGCGCCACCTACTGGCAACAGGAAGCAACCCCTGCGTGGCGATTTTGAGCTGATTTATGTGAGATTTTCATGTTGTGGTCCGCACGTGTTACGACAGCATGTGACGCTGCCACAGCACGCCCCGAGTTACTTGGAGTGCGAGGTCCCGCCCAACGCTGCTTGCAGCTTTAATTAATATTATTATTACTACAGTTACTATTATTACTATTGTCACTACTCATTGTCCCCCATCGTTGCTGTTGTCGTTGTCATCGTCTTCTTCATGTTCATCATCATCAGTCTACACTATTGGTGTAGTTGTTGCTACTGTTGTTGCTGTGCACCTTTGTCTCTGTCTCTGTACTTCTGTTGTTACCTCTGTTCTCTCTCTATCTCTCTCTCTCTCTTTCTCTGTCTCTCTCTCTCTCTCACCCCAACTGGTCGAGGCAGACGACCACCCACCTAGAGCCGAAGGGTCTGTCCTAGGTTTCTGCCTCTTAACAGGCAGTTTTTCCTTGCCCCCGTTGCCAAGTGCTTGCTCATGGTGGTACTGTTGGGTCTCTGTAAATGTTATAAGGAGTTCGGTCTAGACCTGCTCCATTTGAAAAGTGTCCTGAGATAACTTCTGTTATGAATTGGCACTATACAAATAAATTTGAATTGAATTGAATTGTGGCATAGCAGTGGATACGAATGATAGTTTTATTTGGCAAATCGGATCAGCTTGAGAGAGCTTTTTATTTGAGCCATGGAGAGGAATAGCATGATATTTCTTATGTGTTTAGCTGTAAACTACATTGCTGTTTGTATTTATTAAACTGGATAAAATTGAATGCTTTAGCAGGGTACTTGACTGGCCCATCTTATTGCCTGGTCTTTGGTTCCAAGTTGCCCTTATGGAGAGCGACTACTTGGAACAAAATGGCAGACAGTAATAGTGGGTCATTTCAGTGCCCTGCTTTTTTAACCAGTGTATGTCAGAGTTCCCATATATTGAGGAGTTGTTCCCCTTCAACTAATGTGTTTTAGTATGAATTAATGCAGTAGAGCTAATTGTCTGCAAGACTGAATTCTTCCATTTGTGTGGTCTACAGATAAATAAAGAATTCCAGAGAAAATTGCCTGATTTGACCATTGCACATAAAAAATGATGGATGTATCAGACATGATTGCTTCTCCAGGTATGGAAATTATTAGGCTTATCTTTGTTGAAAGTTACCAATTCAGATTATATTTGGTTAGTTACTTTCTTTTGATTTCCTTTTTCTTAAATAGCCCAATACAATTGAAGTACACAGAGACATAGCTATCCTCTGCCTTGGAGAGAAGGAAGAGGACGATTTTCAAGGAGTTTAGAGTAAGTAATTCAACACCTTGAAAGAAAATGAAATCTACATTGGGCAGTGTAAATACACAGGGCAGAAACCTGCTCCTTGTCCATTAAAGTTTTAAGTATTTTACACCTCTGGCCACACCCCAATCTATAATATCATAACAATGGTCTGTTCAGATAGGTGTTGACAGCAATGGCATGGGAAAATACCTTGCTATACAAGGACACAGAAGCGTTTGAGGCAGGCCTCGATAGACAACTGATAAAAAAAAACTGCCACCTTCGGTGACCGGTCCACCCCAGAATCTGACCATATGACAGCAACCATCATGGTCGAAGGATCCAAAATCCTGGAGGACAAGGATATCCCAAGGTTCTGTGCTTTGCTGACGGGAATCTGAGCTATTGGAACTTAAATGTACATTGATAGTGACAGTCTGCTGCTTTGTGTTAGTTTTTTGTAAAATGTATCTAAAAGGTCTTTCCTATAATGTGTAAAAAAGACTACAGGACGGTGAGAAGATTGGTGGCCATGTATGGGACAATTTAAATTTGTGTTATTGTTTTCCAAGTTGTTTTTTAAATATGTCTGTAATCAAAAAATTAGACACATACTATCACAGACAGATGCAGAAAAACTAATCCATGCATTTGTTACTTCAAGGCTGGATTACTGCAACTCTTTATTATCAGGTTGCCCCAATAAGTCCATTAAAACGCTCCAATTAATTCAGAACGCTGCAGCACGAGTACTGACAGGAACTCGAAAAAGAGATCACATCTCTCCTGTACTAGCTACTCTGCATTGGCTCCCTATAAAATGTAGAATTGAATTTAAAATCCTCCTCCTCACCTATAAAGCTCTTCATGGTCAGGCCCCTTCATATCTTAAAGAGCTCATAGTACCCTATTACCCCACTAGAACACTACGTTCTCTGAATGCTGGGCTACTTGTGGTTCCTATAGTCTCTAAAAGTAGAACAGGAGCCAGAGCCTTCAGTTACCAAGCTCCTCTCCTGTGGAACCAGCTTCCTGTTGTGGTTCGGGAGGCAGACACCCTCACCACATTCAAGAGTAGGCTTAAGACATTCCTCTTTGATAAAGCTTATAGTTAGGGCTGGATCAGGTGAGTCCTGAACCATCCCTTAGTTATGCTGCTATAGGCCTAGACTATCGGGGGATTTCCCATGGTGCACTGAGCTACTCTCTTCCTCTCTCTTTCTGCACTCATTCATGTCCCTTTAATGCATGTTACTAACTTCACTTCTTCCCCGGAGTTCTTGTGCTTTCTCGTCTCGCAGGTTCTCATGGATCCTGGTGGAGCCTCCTGCCATGGTCCTGCTTGACTGCCATTGCCAATACTGTTGTTGCTGTGCACCTGTCTGTCTGTCTGTCTGTCTCTCTCTCTCTCTCTCTCTCACCCCAACTGGTCGAGACAGACGACCACCCACCTAGAGCCGGAGGATCTGTCCTAGGTTTCTGCCTTTTAACAGGCAGTTTTTCCTTGCCCTTGTCGCCAAGTGCTTGCTCATGGTGGTACTGTTGGGTCTCTGTAATTAATGTTAAAGAGTTCGGTCTAGACCTGCTCTATTTGAAAAGTGTCCTGAGATAACTTCTGTTATGAATTGGCGCTATACAAATAAAATTGAATTGAATTGAATTGAAACACTGTTAAACTGCAGTTCAACATAAAAACAGTTAATTGCCAAACAGTTTTGTTATCTAATGAATTAATTTCTTACATAAACAAAATTTAAAAATGTGTGTCAACTTAAAAACCATTATTATAGTTATTAAGTACATGACACTTAAAATGCCCTTTAAATAATCTGGGGAAACTATTTGGAACAACTTAGTTTTCTGAGTAATCAACTTAAAAACTTGTGTTTATACTACCAATTATTAAGTAGGTGGTAATTAAAAATACCTTTCATTGTAGAGGAAAAACTAATTTGCCTTATTTAATATCCTTCATTAGATGAACATAATTTCATCCTGTGTTGTCACAACTCAAAATGAGAGACGGTATGATTTTCTTCGTTAAGCCAAGACATTTGTTTTTAGAGTGTGTCAAGTTTTATATTAAAATCCATACCCAGTGGCATAATAGAATTTTAAAAAAGCAACATCAGCCTAACACCATGTGGTTTATACTGATATCAATTGGTGCAAAGTGTATTCCTTTTAAGCTCTGTATAACAAAAAATTAGATAACTTCATCTGAAAATATCATGCAATATATATTCAACAAACATGTATATTTGTATGGTGGCCCGTATTGCATTATATTCTGCAAAGACGTTTATAATTATATATTATGCAAAACAACACTCAACACAACTATGCGATTGTCTTTATTGTTAAATTATGGATAAAACAAACTTCAAGAAGCTCTGTGAAAAAAAATTATAAAGTATGGTCTCCTTTTTGGCCTGTTATGACAAAGTACAAATGTTGGTCTGGGATGAGACTGTTTGAGTTGGTCTATTAATATAGATACATCTGTGCATTTGTTATTATCTATTTTGTTTTTCTGTTATCCTATTTTTATTTTAAATTACATTTCTTCTTCTTTACTTGTAATTTTCACTATATTACTCTACAGCATAGCATCATAACTCCTGTTATGCTCCTGTTATCACCACTTGTTCATGGCAGGCCATTTCCATTATTTTTTGCTTATTACATTATTTGCCAAAAGATTGAGGCTATTTATATATTTTTGTGTATTTATTTTAATATTACTACTCATACATACATATTGTGTTATTGTAACTTTTTTTTATTATTATGTTGAATTACTGCTATCTGTATTATTATTATTATTATTATCATCATGTTCTTACTTATTCAGTCATACATTGCTTGTAAGTAAGGGTGGGATTGGGAGTAATTGTCAATCAGTTATTAAGCCTGCCCAAAACAATAAAAAAGATTATGTAAAAAAACAGCAACTGGTATGACTGATTGTAGTTTCTTATGAATAAATACATTATGAAAAAAAGAGTTTTAAATAGTATCACAATTAAATAATTCATTTTTCATCTCAGCAATTTTAAATCATCCTGTTTGTATCTCTGTTTAACTGTCTCGCAATATATCGTTACATTTCTATCTTTCTGATGTTAGCATTTAGCCTCATATTGCTGCTAGCATGCCCTAAATACAACAATTTTCTGAAATCAGTTTGAATGAAGTGGTGGGAATTTGGCCCATGGGAGTCAAAATGAGGGAGCACCAACCAGGAAAACCAGGGCAAAAAGCAATGGCCTTGAGGTGGTAAACATAATTTATTTTCCAGCCGTGGGTCCATGGTGGTGTGATCAGTAGGCTGAAGCAGTCTGTGCCCTCCTGGTTTAAGTTCAGCTCTCTGCTGTCCCTTTAAACACATCCTCCTCCTGTTACCATAAAACTGCTAGAAGAGCCTCACTGCAAAAGTCACATGCTCTGACTCCCTTTGTTTCCCACAGAAAGCCTCTGTCTGCGTGTGCATGAGAGGGACTGAGAACAGAACATGCCATTGAGAAAAGTCATGTCTGAAATGAAGTGGATCAGAACAACTGCTGGTTTCAGCTTTTACAACTTTCGGTCTGCTGGACAACATATTTGGTTTTCCAACATAATGTCATTCGAAGAATATGTTAAAAATAAAATGTTACTAAATTAAATAAAGTTAGGAAAAAGGTTCTCCCAGTGGCTTGTGACATACATGTGCAATAAATAAAATATGTGAGTCATAAAATATTTGTAAAAGGCAATTATAATGGCTTATGAGGGTTAAAAACGGTTGATCAGATTTGTATTATCTTCATATTATTTGAATGGTATTGAGGGGAGGTTCAGTTGTAAAAAGGAAATGATATAGGACACTAAAAAAAGATGTATGCACAGGAAACATTTAAATGAACCATAACACAATTGTTTTCTACACATACAGTGATGGTATATAGAGGGTAAAAGGTAAGAAGTCGAACAATATGTATGTTTATTCAAATGCATTATAGTGAATACATATTTTGTAGAATATTGTTGTATTTTTCATCCCACACAAAAAAAAACACAACAGCACAGTGGTGGTTTGTTCTGATGTGACTCCAGGCTCTGTCCACAAAAGTTGAACCTTCTTCAGGCATTACGGTAGTCCACCCAATAGCCCAGAGAGGAATTCAAGGAATGTGAAAAGCTCCAATTCATATTGAAACTAGATTAAAATGTCTACAACTTAACACTAAATGCTGAAATGCTACAATAATAAATGACAGAGCCTGCGTGTTATACCTTGTATCAATGTGTAAATGTCAATAAATGTCTCCTGCTGGGTCCACTGCTGGGTCCTCTCCTCAGTCTTACTGAATGCTTTCCCACATAAAGAAACAGAGATGTACATATAAAGCAGTGTTGTCAATAGAAAAATTGCCCTAATTGATTATTCGAATACGTCAAAGGATTCTGATAGGGTTACCAATGTTACCAACAACAATGTCAACTTTTCAAGTGCACTGAACTTTTCCCCGCAAGTTACACCGACATCTGCCTAGTAACAGCAATACCTCCCATTGGTGCAACTCCAGTCTCCTCCCGTTTGTGTGTGTGTGTGTGTGTGTGTGTGTGTGTGTGTGTGTGTGTTAGAATGTCTTTAAACTTTACTATTTGCACTCCATTATTGTGTTTTTGAGTAGCAGTAGTTTTGGTCTGTGATATATGATAAACTATGCTGACGTTGAACTCCAAAGAATAAACTGCTCATTTCTTTTTGGATCGGTGGGTAGCATACACACTCAATTAATAATTGATTAAATAATCCCAATTTTACAGGTATAGAGTTAAAATGTGACACAGTGGGGTTTCCATACAGATGATGACTCAGCAGTCCTCAAACAATCAAAGTTAAACCTGAGAATAGTTGATTCAGTGCAATGGAGCCACATGGTGAGCTTTATGTTCACTGTGCATACAGTGATCAACAATGAACAATTTTACTGAATGAATGCTGCATTACATTACAGATATTACAGGTGCAATGGGTTTATAAGCAGACTATCAGATGTTAACTACACTTACTGAGAGCTACAGGAGCTTGATATAATACACTATCCTATCTGCCCCCCATGATATTTGGAGCTGGAATAAACGGAAATAAATAAAGCAGCATGTGTGTTTCACACTGCACTATTGTCCCATGTGCTCACCTCATGTCCAGAACAGTTTGGTGAGAGAGCGTTCATTGAGTCCTGGGGAGAGACAGAGGAAAGAGGAAGAGGGGGTGTGCGCCCTTATCGCCCCCTACCGACGCGAGGCAGCCAAGCCTTCTCCCCGGTCAGCTCTTCTCCAGCCGCACCCCCCCCCTCCCTAAGACTCGGCCCCGGACCTCCCACCTCCTCCTCAGAAACTACCAGGCTATAGGAGGAGAGGACAGAGGAGGGAGGTGGTGGTTTGTGTGTGTGTGGGGGGGGCTCACAATCTCTGTTTTTCCTTTATATATGTATATAAAGAAATCCTTCCTCGCGCGCTCCCTGGCAGACTGCTTGTCTCTTTGATCCCCCCTACCTCTTAACAACAGCTGACGTCATCCCGGCATCTACCCCCTCCTCACCTCCTCTCTCCTCGGCGCGTGCTCGCCGATAAAGTTTGTGTGTGTGTGTGTGTGCCCGCCCGTACGCGTGCGCGCTCGGCGAGCGCGAGACAGGGGTTTTTGTCTCGCGGGGGAAAGCGCTCTGTGCTTCAGAGGGCTCGCGCACACCGGAGGAGCAGCAGCACGCAGCAGCAGCAGCCCCGCGAGACGAAAGTGATTTAAAATACAGCCTCTCGTCTGCTGCAGCCGGTCCCTTCACTCACACTGTGACACTTTATCACGGCGAGACCGAAAATTCGAGCCAACGGTGAGAGTAAGATTAACAGGCCTAACACAAACTATGGAGGACCAGCTGCTGTGTTGCGAGGTGGACTCCATCAGGAGAGCCTACCAGGACGTCAACCTGCTCAACGACCGGGTTCTACGCACCATGCTGAAGGCAGAGGAGAACTACCTCCCGTCGCCGAACTACTTCAAGTGTGTTCAGAAAGAAATTGTGCCCAAAATGAGGAAAATAGTTGCCACCTGGATGTTAGAGGTACTTCACTTCAACTTTTCCCTCAGGGCCCGTTGCTAACTTGCCTGTCCGTCTCTGTAGCATAAACCCTAAAACTCGAATCTAATGTGAAAGTTGTGTGTTAGAGAGGTTTATTTGTGTTATTTCATTGTTCATGTTACATAAACGCTCTGAAAAGTAGCTATAGGCTACCTCATGAGAGCTGGGTGGTCCTCCGGCTATAAAAGGAGATATTGGCGACTCAGTTTCCACCACGAATACCTTTTTGTTATTGATTATTTAGTAGCCTGTATTTCTTTTCGATGGTTATGAAATTAAATGAGGAAATATTCAAAAATAACAGCAATGTACACGTATGCAGTCTGGCCCGTGCCAGTAGCTATTGCGCGCCATCTTTGTTGTCGTATATGAGAGGGCTTTTAATATCATTAAAAATCTATAGCCTCAGTATCAGCAGCTATGACAGTGTGTCGGTTAAGTGTGGCACAAATGCACCTATATGATAAACTGGTTATATGGTGACTGCGACAGCTCGTTCGGCTGCTAGCAACTGCTAAAGTTTGTTTTGCCTCACAAGAGTCACCGCCGTCTGCGAAGGTCGCGAAGAAAGAAGGAGATTTGATAAAAGTACGAACTTGTTAAATGAATTTGAAGGATCGGATTTGATAGATTAGATGTTTCTTAACATTAACATTAACTTTTGGATTGAATTCTTTGCGGGTTTCTATTTTTAATTAATTTCTGAAATTGCGCACGGGAGCGCCGAGGGGGAAGTGTCGCATGCAGCACGAGAAAAAGCCCGGAGAGAGAAATTAATTTATTTTAAATCCGCACGCGACACAATTCGACATATTTCGCTTTGATCCGATCAGGCACTCGACGAGGATCATTTACGTGTTAATTGCGCCCACCCCGCTAATTTTTAAATATTTCTAAATATTTTTTGAAAAGATGACGAAGTTGAAATTAGAGACTGAAACTTGCATCGACGCCACCTTTGTGTCTCAGTCAGAACTGACTTCAAACTAATTCCCGACTCTTTTCACTGTTACTAATTAATAGGCTACATCCGATTGGGACTTTACATGTTTTGGGTTGCACAAAATCGATACAATATTAAATAGCGTGTCACACAGGATATTTCAACTCTAAAAATGAACATGTTGTGTAATTCATTTGAGTTATTTTTTTCCGGATGACCGTGGATAATGAATGCAAACAGCTGTGCGCAGAATAAAAGGTAGAGCCAGTGGGGGGCCAAAGACTTCATAATGCATACGAATGGGGGAATTTCCTTCCAGCAACCTCTAAGTGCTTTTCTCACCTCCCTATAGGTCTGCGAGGAACAAAAATGTGAGGAGGAGGTTTTTCCGCTGGCTATGAACTATTTGGACAGATTTTTATCAGTGGAGGCCACCAGGAAAACAAGACTACAGCTGCTGGGAGCTACGTGCATGTTTCTAGCATCCAAGATGAAGGAGACTGTGCCCTTAACGGCTGAGAAACTCTGTATCTACACGGACAACTCGGTCCAGCCCGGAGAGCTGCTGGTAATTGAGTTCTGCAGACATGGATGTTGCATAACACATACAGTAGCATGAGCAGCATGCACCGGAGAGCACATGACCAGAATACAGTGTGTGTGCAGGTCATCTACTCTGTTATAGCCACCAGAGAGTAGATTGTAGTGACATTTCATAGATAGATAGATAGATAGATAGATAGGAATAAAAGGAAGTATAAATGTAGCATTTGGTGCCGCGGTCTCTGAATGGCTGCCTGTGACTTTCTCATGGTGACTAGCAGGCCTCTGATTTCATGAATGGTCTCAGTGACTGACAAGAAAATACTGATTCACAGCGACACCTAGTGCCCATAAGACACAGCTGCAGACAGTGGCAATGACAAACTGAGCGTGAATTACAGACACACTCTTTTCTTTTGTTTGCTGTGACAATTAGTTTGTGTGCACCTGTTTCTATTGGAGTGTAGAGATACTTCATCACAATATTGTATCAGTAAATCCTGATGTAGCCTTTGTATAGTATTTATAGGTAATCGGGTAAGAAGCTGTTGATTTTGCACCTGATTGCATGAGGACTTACATGTCATGTCATGGAATGTCATGTCACAAATACATGTTTGCGAAAGTTGAAATGTGGAGAATGTTGCACTGCAGAAAAATTTGAAAGTTGAAAACAAGAACCAGGATGGTATGAAAAAGCAAAGCAAATAAGAACATATTAAATGCAACAGCTGCAGGAACTAAATGTCACAGCAGATACAAAAGGAGGGGTCATTTTTTTCTTTCCCTTAAGTGGGTCAGTTTGAGTGAATGCCTCTGGTCTGGTCCGTCCACAGCAAATGGAGCTGCTGGTTCTCAACAAGCTGAAGTGGGACCTGGCTTCAGTCACACCTCACGACTTCATCGAGCACTTCCTGTCCAAGCTGAAGATCTACCCGTCCACAAAGCAAATCCTCAGGAAACATGCTCAGACCTTTGTGGCCCTCTGTGCTACAGGTAGGACCAGAAGCTTTATGTCTTATAATCCATATATTGGTTTAGAGGAACATTTCTGTCTGTGTATGAGCATATATGGATCCTTATGTAGGCCTATACATTTTCTTTATTTCATTATTGTTTGAATATGTTGCTGTAACCCATATTTAGCCTATCTGTATATTTAATACCTTCTGTTTCTCCTGTGTGTGGTTCTACAGTATTTTCTCTGCTGTAGCCTTTTACAGCTTACTGATACACCTTTACACACAGGGCAGGTTAAAGTTTCAGTCAGATTTGAGGAGCTTTCTGGAATTGCTGGCTTTTGTCTTCTTCGAGCCAGTTTGTGGTTTTGTGGACCTGATTAGGAATGCCATGTTCTCATGATTAGTAAATAAATGTTGAAGGTTCAGAGTAGCAGATGTGTAGTGCTCTGTGAGGATTATCAGTCATGTGTTGTTTTTCTGTGAAGAGCCGGAGGCAGGGGTTCCATCCAGCCCAAAGGCATGGATTGGGAGCTCGTAGGGTGTAATAATAAGTGGTTCTGGTGGATTATTCAAAGGAAGGTGGTGTTCTATAATGTGCTACAGAGATTCTGTGTTGTAACACATGCTTGTGTCGTTCCCACAGATGTCAACTTCATTGCCAGTCCTCCATCCATGGTGGCAGCTGGCAGCGTGGTGGCAGCTGTTCAAGGTCTCTACCTGAAGAGCCAAGATGCCTCCTTGTCCTCCCAGAACCTCACCAACTTTCTGTCACAGGTCATTCGCAGTGACCCGGTATGCAAACACATTCTTCCAAACCCATACTATATATGTCCACTAAAATGTCTTCAATCCAATAGTCTGATATTCAGGCCTAAAATGTCTTAAATGTGATTGTCACTAGATTTCTTTGCTTGGTAATAGTTCGTATTGGTCTTGCTGTAACAACTACTAAATGAAATGCATACAATAAATCACAACACATTAATGATAAAATATATATAAATAAATTAAAATAAAATAAAGTAGTCAATAGTCAAATGCATAGCCAGTATGAACGTGACATATGGCTTAAAGGTCCAGTGTGTATTATGTAGGAGGATCTATTTTTAGAAATGGAATATAATATTCATAGGAATGTTTTCATTAGTGTATAAACACCTGAATATAAGAATATTATAAAAATGTTGTTACTTTAGAATGAGCTGTTTTTATCTATAAAAAAAACATATTTATAGAGTCCTCCATGTTGAACCACCTTGTTTCTACAGTAGCCCAGAATGGACAAACCAGACACTGACTCTAAATAAGGACTTTTGCGTTTTGTAGTTTCTCCTACACACTTGGAAGACTGAGCTGCTTTCAAATGGTTGCAGTCTGCAACTTCACTAGTCGATGCCACTAATTCGTACACACCAGACCTTCAAATTGCATTCATAATGATCTTAAAAAGTCATTTTATTTTTAGCCTGCAGAAATCCTGCCATATAACATAAATGTGTGATAAGCCAGTGATTGATCAGTGTCCACTCTGTCCTTGCAGGATTGCTTGCGGGCCTGTCAGGAGCAGATAGAGTCTCTGCTGGAGTCCAGCCTGCGGCAGGCTCAGCAGCACGGCGGCACAACGGAAACCAAACGCGTGGACGAAGACGTAGACTTGTCCTGCACTCCAACAGACGTCAGAGATATCAACATCTGAAACAATTCGACCGCCGCATTGCACTGATGATCGAAGGAAAGTGGTCGACTATGGGCGGTGACAGGCGGGCCGGGGAGGGGGTGCCTCATCTGCCTCCCCTCCTCCCTCTCCCTCTTCCTGGTGGGCTGCTATCATGGCCGACATGTCACTCACTGTCCGCTACAGCTGCCGAGACGGGACCGAGTGCCCGGCAACAAACCCCAAGTCACATTTCCAGTGTCCCCTCCCATCCTGGGAAAAGAAATGAACACTACAGAAATGTACAAGAGATGAAAGACAGCGTATAATGATGCCCTGTGTGGGCTGGCGTCAATGCCACAAAGCAGACATTTTAGTAGATATCTTTTCTTATTCCCTCAAATATTAAACTAGGAATCTTTAAATTACCACAGACTCAACTCGCCTACTAAAACATCCCAAAGTGTCATGTACAGTAGGTCCTTGTAGTCTGCCTTCTGGTCTTCACCTAAAATCTGACTTTGGTTAAGGAGAAGAGTTTTTTGTTGTTGTTTCATTTCTCTTCTTTTATATGTAGAATGGTTTAGACTTCCTGTCCAAGCTCCCATGTTTGTCTTGTTGCAGTGCAGACATTCATATATCCCCGCTTGCTTATGTTTAGTCACTTTATTATATATGATTTTAGACCTCTTTATCAGTTAGTCTTATACCGCTTTTCTTCAGAGCTTTTGTTTTTTAAACCAAGTGTAGTGTGAGATGACCCTAGTGACAGTGTACTGCTTAGGGTTTGAACAAATGTGATTCTTTGTTCAACATTTCAGCTTGCCGTTGTTTGATGAGATCATATCAATGCGCGGCCAAGCAGAACAGTCCAGTCTGTTCTGTTTTCTTTTGTCTGTGTAGTTCAACCTAAACCATTCCAACGTTGTTTTCTAAAAAAAAAAAAAGCACTTTTGGTCAGCGCTGCTGGCCGTCTAAAAAAAAAATCACAGTGATAAAGTTTGTAAAACAAGATGAAAATGGAATGGGGGTTTGAGCAGGAGTAGTCTTTTGGTGATGAAGAGTGAGTTGCACCTGGATCTGATACAACAAATGGGACTAAAGAAATGACCAGTAGCTGCAGAAATATTTAAACAAACAAGACTGAATGCTGCTCCATACTGTCATTAGTCTTACAAGAGCCAGCGGCTTCAGTAGCTGCCTACCAGCTCTGAGTTTTAGTTCAATAAATGTTTCATGTGGGCCTAGCTGCTCTTACCTTTTTTAAAAGATATGGTTGCTTTAGTTAAACCTCAGTGTGCAGAGCCAAAAGCTGAGGGTGCAGAGGTAAAAGTAAAAAGAAGTATTATTTTTGTAGATAAAATAATACTTTATTTTTATATAGTGAAACATATTTATTTTTTTTTAGCTTGCATTTCTAGTTTGCTAACGAACTGTGGCTCTACCTGCTGATGTTTATCAGGCTGTGGGGATGCTGGAAGTCAGTCTGAGCATGACATTTATGACCAGGATAATTTGCACCGTAGTTAATAGTAATTAACAACAATTTATACACATTTTGTATAACATTTTTTAGTGGATAAAATTGATAAAAAAAAAAGGTACAACCACTTTTCATGTCATATATGCCAGTGTACACATGCACATCACAGTAAAAAAGGAGGACGTCATTATATGTTGAAATATTTTTCTGAACAAATGCTTTTATTATGCCAGAGTTTAGTACTACTTCCAGCACCCATGTCTGGCTCCAGAAATATTTGTAAGACTAAAACTCTAGTCTGCTTGAGTCACCAGGATCACATCTTTTCTGTTGCTCCACCTCAGTTCAAATACTGCTCATGGATTCTGGGAAGGGGATGAAGCTAAAAGAAGAAAAGAGAAGTGTTGAGACTATTGACATGATTTTGCACAAAGCTAAAAGACGTGGGCTGCGTTTCTTGCAGATTTTCCTAAAAAGCGAGGGTGCCGAGGGCTGAAACGGCAGCAAAAGTGGCAAAAAGGGTGAAGGCTAAACAGGGAGGTGTGTCTTAATGCTGTAGAGTTCAAGTCAGGGTTCCTATGCAGGGCGGGAATGTTGTCATGACCAGGTCGCTAAATGCTTTATATATGAAGACAGACTGATTACAAGCAGGAGGGCTCTCTTCAAATCCAATTCTGTAAGAAAGTATTGAATTCTATGTCCAACTGCGTAGGAACCCTGTCAATTAGGTTTCTGATTGTACATTAAGGATAGAGAGTAGGAGAGAAACACTCCTTGTTTTCAGCTGCTATAGAAAATAAATCCCAGCTACGTGTTTAAAAAACAAAAAAAAACAAAAAACGTAATGGAATAAAAACAATGCTTTTCTCTTGTTTGCTGCTACATTTTTGGTGGTTTTTTTTATACATATAAATGTCAATATACTGCCATTCTAGGTTTGAATTTTCTCATAGAAAATTGTGTTATTGACATCCTCATTTGTTGTTTTTATGTAGATTCTATGTGATCTTTTTTTATAATTACGTAATATGATTTTCCGAACTATTCCAAAAAACAAGGAAAAATGAGACAATGTACAGAAATGCTTTGATCCACAATACCTCATGTGACAGTCAAGATCTATCTCTAATTTTTAGTCTTTTTATTTGTTTAGTTCTTATTCTATTCTACTTGTTGGTTCAGTGCCTACTAGCTCTGTTAAAACCTGCTTGAGACAAAGCATCCGTGATGGAAACCAGCAAGTCCAGGGCATGCTTTGATACTGGTGCCATAACAGAAAATGGGATATGTATAACTCTGTTGAGTGTTAAGCTGTCTCGGTGAAAGAGACTTTATCCCCTCTTTAGGCCCATAGCGGCCTTCTTTCCTTTCCCCTTTTTATATTTATAAAAGAAAAAACCTTTTGCTCCAATTTTTAAACTGTCAGTGAGTTGATTTTTTTGTTTTTGTAAATAGATTCAGTGTCGTGCTCGGTAAGCCATAGACTGTTTTTGTTTTGTTTTTACAAATCATTCCACAGTTGTGTCTACTTCATGCCAGTTGTCGGTAACTGGGACAAACAGTGTATTCATATTTGTGACGACTACACAATAAAAACATGAATTAGATGGAGTCTGGAAAACTGTTTGTTCTTGTCCACTAGGTTTACCTCGTGTGAGTTCATAGTGGAGGGAAGGTTGTAGGTGTGAGGGTTAAAATACTGTGTACTGGTCTAGATATGAGATATAAAACTTCCCAGTTGGTTACTTACATTGAGACAATTATTATCATTTTGAATTCCATATATTCTGTGTAAATACACATATTACATATATTTCCAGAAGAGAAATCTGAACATTGGATGACGCTTGGCTAAAAATTCTTGTTTCAATGATTTTAGATTTCTTTTTATCACTCCATAAATGTAAAAAAAAATCTGTCATCATTCATAAAACCCACATATTAGAAAGAACAGCCATGTTATTTAGGAATAAAATGTGATAGAAGAGAGAAGAATCAGGCGATGAACATAAAACTAGAATATTTTGTAAGATTTCTGGCTCAGAATATAGTTTAACTTTTCAATTCAGTTCAATTCAATTTTATTTGTATAGCGCCAATTCATAACAGAAGTTATCTCAGGACACTTTTCAAATAGAACAGGTCTAGATCGAACTCTTTATAACATTATTTACAGAGACCCAACAGTACCATGAGCAAGCACTAGGTGACAAGGGCAAGGAAAAACTGCCTGTTAAAAGGCAGAAACCTAGGACAGATCCTTCAGCTCTAGGTGGGTGGTCGTCTGTCTCGACTAGTTGGGGTGAGAGAGAGACAGAGAGAGAGAGACAGACAGACAGACATACAGACAGGTGCACAGCAACAACAGTATTGGCAATGGCAATCTAGCAGGACCATGGCAGGAGGCTCCACCAGGATCGATAAGAACCTGCGAGACGAGAAAGCACAAGAACTCCGGGGGAAGAAGTGAAGTTAGTAACATGCAATAATGGGACATGAATGAGTGAAGAAAGAGAGAGGAAGAGAGGAGCTCAGTGCACCATGGGAAATCCCCTGATATATAGCGGCATAACTAAGGGATGGTTCAGGACTCACCTGATCCAGCCCTAACTATGAGCTTTATCAAAGAGGAATGTCTTAAGCCTACTCTTGAATGTGGAGAGGGTGTCTGCCTCCCGAACCACAACTGGAAGCTGGTTCCACAGGAGAGGAGCTTGGTAACTGAAGGCTCTGGCACCTGTTCTACTTTTAGAGACTATAGGAACCACAAGTAGCCCAGCATTCAGAGAACGTAGTGTTCTAGTGGGGTAATAGGGTACTATGAGCTCTTTAAGATATGAAGGGGCCTGACCATGAAGAGCTTTATAGGTGAGGAGAAGGATTTTAAATTCTATTCTACATTTTACAGGGAGCCAGTGCAGAGAAGCTAGTACAGGAGAGATGTGATCTCTTTTTCTAGTTCCTCTCAGTACTCGTGCTGCAGCGTTCTGAATTAATTGGAGCATTTTAATGGACTTATTGGGGCAACCTGATAATAAAGAGTTGCAGTAATCCAGCCTTGAAGTAACAAATGCATGGATTAGTTTTTCTGCATCTGTCTGTGATAGTATGTGTCTAATTTTTGTAATATTACGTAAATGAAAGAAGGCAGTCCTAGAGGTCTGCTTCATGTGGGAGTTAAAAGACAAATCCTGATAAAGATAACTCCAAGATTCCTGACAGCGGTGCTAGAGGCCAAGGTAATGCCATCTAGAGTAACTATATCTTTAGACAGTGAGTCTCTAAGGTTTTTGGGGCCAAGAACAAGAATTTCGTTTAACATCAGAAAAATTGCAGCTCATCCAGGATTTTATGTCCTTAAGACATGTTTGTAATTTAGATAATTGATTAATTTCATCGGGCTTGATCGATAGATATAACTGCGTATCATCTGCATAACAGTGAAAGTTAATGGAGTGATTCCTAATAATGTTGCCTAAAGGGAGCATATATAAAGTAAATAGTATTGGTCCAAGTACAGAACCTTGTGGAACTCCATGACTAACTGTAGTATTTATTGAAGATTCATCGTTAACATGTACAAACTGCGAACGATCTGATGAATATGACTTAAACCAGCTTAGTGCGGTTCCTTTAATGCCAATTTGATGCTCAAGTCTCTGTAAAAGAATATCATGGTCAGTGGTGTCAAATGCAGCACTAAGATCTAATAATACAAGTACAGAGACAAGTCCATTGTCAGAAGCAATCAGAAGGTCATTATTAACTTTAACCAGAGCTGTCTCTGTGCTGTGAACCTGACTGAAAATCCTCAAATAAACTATTGTTATGTAAAAAGTCACACAACTCTTTTGCGACTACTTTCTCCAGAATCTTAGAGAGGAAGGGGAGGTTAGAAATCGGTCTATAGTTGGCTAAAACCCCTGGGTCAAGAGTGGGCTTTTTAAGAAGGGGTTTAATTACAGCTACTTTAAAGGACTGTGGTACATATCCTGATAATAAAGAAAGATTAATCATATCCAGTAAAGAAGTGCCAATTGAGGGAACAACTTCTTTAAGCAGCCTAGTTGGGATCGGGTCTAATAGACAGGTTGATGGCTTCGATGAAGAAATGATTGAAGTTAACTGATGAAGATCGATAGCAGAAAAACAGTCTAAATATATATCTAAGTTTACATTGGCAGAAGTCCCTGAACTTGGAGAGCCACTGATAACTGTTGATGGCAGTTGGTGATTAATTTTCTCTCTAATAGTAATAATTCTATTATAGAAGAAGCTCATGAAGTCATTGCTACTTAAGTTTATGGTGATGATGTACAGTATATACAGAAATATCTTCAGTGATATACTTTATGTAATTGTTTCCTCATTCCCATTACATGTATTCTTTATAGAATCCAAAGGCTACCATTCTCTTGTGGTAGAGGGAGAATGTTTAGTGCTGAGCAGGAGGCAGCCGATGTGAACATGGTTGTGGCAAACAATGCCATAAGGCTGCGTGAAATCAGGGCAGCAGTGATCGCAGATCAGGGCATGTTTAGGAACATCAACAATGTGAGCGTGACCACCATTGACTGCATCCTAAGAAGGAACCATATGGCCATGAAGCAGCTCTATACAGTTCCATTTCAAAGGAACTCTGACATTGTGAAGGAGGCCAGATGCCAATATTCAATTCAATTCAATTCAATTTTATTTGTATAGCGCCAATTCATAACAGAAGTTATCTCAGGACAGTTTTCAAATAGAGCAGGTCTAGACCAAACTCTTTACAACTCCATAAATATGTGGAGGTAAGGAAACATAACTACAGTATACTGTAATGCCTTGTCATATCATGCAGTTAGAGTCAACTGGAGTCACTTTTTTGTCCTTTTTGCCTTTTTTTTGGCTTATAATATATATATATATATATATACTCCTGAACAAAATCTTAAGACTGGGAGAAAAATTACAAGTATTAGCATTTCCCGTTGGTGGAACAATTTATTGAAAACTGCATTTAAACTCAAATAGGCTGTTCATCAGCTGATCAAAAGTGCAAAAATCTGGCTTTCATGTCATTTTCTATCAGGCATTCCCACTGTCATGACTCCCTGATGGCTAAGGCAAAACCTCTTTCTGTCTTTGAACGTGGCAGGATTGTTGAGTTGCACAAGAAAGGCCTCTCGCAATGCGCTACCGCTGCTGAGGTTGGACAGTCATTTTAAATTTCTTTAAAGGTCCTGAGGGTTATGGGACAAAAATGTCAAGTGGTAGACACAAAAACTTTCACCTGCGCTGAGCCAGAGGATCCAGTGGGCTTTCTGTGAAGACACAGATCGATCCTAGACCCAGATTAAGGCCCTTACTGATGCTTACTGTAGCCCAATAACCATCAGACAGCGTCTGCAACAGAAGGGCTTAAAGAACAAAAAACGTCTTCAAAGGCCACATCCCCTCCCACACCACAAACCTGCCCGTATGCACCTTACAAGGGAGCACCAAACATGGGACATTGAAAGGTGGAAGAAAGTTTTATTCTCTGATGAGAAAAAATGTAACCTGGACGGTCCTGATGGCTTCCAACGTTACTGGCATGACAAGGAGATCCCACTGAAGATGTTTTCTACACAATACAGTGGAGGAGGCTCCATCATGATCTCGGGTGCTTTTTCCTTCAATGGAACAATGGAGCTTCAGGTTGTGCAGGGGAGTCAAACCGCAGCTGGCTATGTGGAGATGTCTCAGCGGGCATCCCTCTTGACTAAGGGGCCCTCGTCTGTGGGGTTGATGATGGTCTTTCAACAGGACAACGCTAAAGTTCACAACGCCTGCCTGACGAATTACTTCTTCCAGGAGAATAAAGTCGCTCTTTTGGACCATCCTGCATGTTCCCCTGATCTAAATCCCATTGAGAACGTTTGGGGATGGATGGTGTGGTGGCAATTTGTTTAATAAAGTATGCAAAGTATGATCTTATCTTTCTGTAAGGTTTTATTCAAGTCATCCATGAATGGTCTCAATGCAACCGTCACACTCTCGTATGTGAAAGTCCCAAGAGCCTCGATTGGCAGAACCAGTAGGGTTTTATCCCTGTTGGAGCACACAGTTACACATTCCTGAGTTGTGGGACAGTAAACAGACAGATAGTGTGGTGAGATGATCATGTCCTTGGCTTCTTAGTGAAGTCTCAACATCCTGCTGTTTACTGGGACATAGAGTGTAGTTAGAAACAGGGCTAATGGTTGTATGCATATAATATCCTCTTTAACAGTTGGGTATGGTTTTACAATGACCAGCAAAGGGTTGTATACGTTCTTAAAAATTGCCATTACGTTCCTCCCTTTGAGCATTTTTTATGCTCACAAAATATTTTTTAAGAACTAAACAAACAGTCAAAACATCCATGGATGATAGGAAAAAATCAATCAAGAGTTTTTTTTATCATTAGCAGTAATTTTGGTTATGTATGATAAATTTATGTGATATAATCATGAGTGATTTTACAAAGATAGGAAAAATAAGGAATATAAATAAGAAAGAAAAATCTGATTATGCTTTATCCTAATCTTAACCAATGTAATCTATTCTAGAGATGTGGAGATTATTGCTGGAATTTGCACATAATAGCAAAGATTTAACCACAGCGATAATTTTAGTGTAAGGGATTATACAACATCTCAAAGTATTAAACATTACAAAGATTAGTAATCAAAGGTCTTAACACTTTTACCAGTGTATTCTAAAATTCGCCTGTGGTCAGACAGGCAGATATGCTCCATCCTTCAGGAGCCTTACAGTCCTTACTTTCCTCTTCATGCAGGAAGTCATTATGGTGACAAACATCATTAGTCATGTTATCTGAAACTTTCTTGGGGATCTGGGTTCCATCGCTGACCCCTCGTAGGTGACACAGAGCTTCACTCTGCACGTCACTTTGTTGGAGCTTGGCATGCTACTGGTGGAGGAGGGCGCTGTTTCACCCATCGCTCATTGGACTGGTTTCTTTGCTTGATACAGCTGTCTACCCAGACACGCTGTCTCAGGTTTGGTTGGACTAACAGGGATGCTGGTAGCACCCCCCTTTTTGCCCTATTCTTTGGCTTTCTTGATTTTGATGCAAGCTTGATGATGATCTCGGTTCTGGGAGTCTGCAGTGGCTGCTATGGATCCAAGTTGCTCTCTCAGGGACCTTTACTGCTGTTTCCATTGTGAGGAGTAACTTCATCACGATCCCGTCGCCTGGTGTTGGTCGTATAGTTTTTCTCAGCAGCCTTTGGTATGGCTTCTTTCAGCTGCTTGTGGAGATAAGCACAGGGGACATGTTTGCACAAAAACACAGCATTTCATTTTCCCATTGACCGGTGTCAGGGAGTTTACTTTTAACAGGACCAATCCCAGTGTTTAGTGGTCTCCCAAATAGGATTTCAAATGGGCTGAGACCACTTCTGTTCCTTATTCTGGCCCTTGTGTGCATTAAAACAATTAGTAGTGCTTTTTGTCCACGTCAAACCTGTTCCTGTGCAACATTTTACAAATTTGTTTTCGAATCAGAATCAGGATCAGAATCAGAAATACTTTAATATAAATTATTTAATGTTCCATTTTCTCTTTTTTGTTAGGCACGATGTTGTCTCATGCCTACAGTTTTCAGTGCTGAACTTATGAAAGATTATTATTATATTAAAAAAAAAATTCTTTGATGTAGCGCCTTTGCAACTGCTTTTGCATCTTAAAAACATATCAACAATGATGAGACAATACTTCTTTCCCCCACTAGGTGTTAGTTCAATAAAATCAGTTTGTTAGACATACACGAATAACACAACTTCGGCAAAATTTATGGGAGAAATTAGAGAACCTG